ATAGCCAGTGGCGCAGGACAGGCACGCTGACGGGGCGTCATGCGAGGTCTCGGGATGCCAGGCAAAGGGCCCGTAGGGGCCTGGTGTTAGCTCTGGGGCCTTGGCTAACTCACTCAAGGTTTCTGCTCCTCCAGCTCTTGCTTATTTCTGAAGTGGAGATAATGAAGGCACAACCTTCTGAAATCGTTTGGAAAAGTAAGTAACGTAAGACCTGTCAAGTGTTTAGCGCTGCGTTGACACACAGTAATGTAAGTGCTTGATGCCACTTAGCTGTTTACGTTTTTCTTAATTCACGAGGCTTCGGGACAGCGTGGCTTTCTGGTGGGGTAGGATGAGATGGGACTGAGCTTTTAGGTAAATTAATCTGGCGTCTGTGGACGGGTTGGAGTGGAGGGGGGAGCCCGCGGGAGAGGTGGGGGTGAGTTACTGGGATCTGGAGCCCCCGGTGAGCAGGGGTGAGGATCTGGGAAGAACGTAGTGTGGGCCCAGGTGCCAGGTACCTCATCCAGGTCGAGTCTGCGGGGCTCCGTGACTCACCAAAGGGGAGGGTGAAGGTTTGCAGCTGAGTCCCTAGTTCAGGGAAGAGAGGAGCCAGAAGGTTTGCTCTGGAAAGATGATGAGTTCAGTTTGAGCTATGTTCACTCCCTGGTGCCTGTGGAGTCTGCAGATGCAAAAGCTCTAGTGAGTTAGGAGACCCCATTCTAGAAGCCTGGAGGGGGGCAGGGCAGGCGAGCCCACAGGGAAGTCACTGACACAGAGCCTTCTGCAGGGAGGGAGGAGAGGAGGGCCGAGGACGGGCCTAAGTTCACCGGGAGGGGCTGGAGCGGCTGGTGGTGGGGATGGAGGCCTTCCTCTGCAGAGCGTGCTAATGAGACTCGGCCGCTGGTGAGAGAGAGCAGGGGGCCGTGGTCATGCTTGGGACACGGTGACCATGACCATCCATCGCTGCTGACGGCCCCGCCTCATAACCACAGGTCTTCCCAGTGTGCCCCAGCCTTTCCCAGAATCGCTATGGCCTAAGAGAGGGCTGGTGAGCCTGGGGCGCTGCATCAGGAATCCCACTAAGTGCCTTTTGCCAAAAGGTCGTTGTTTTCCGGTCACATGAAGCTTTACACCGGACGGCACAATTTCCTTTTCAGATGGCACCGACCGAGGCAACGCTGGAATAACAAATTAGGTTAATGGATGTGTTCTTCCTTAAGGAGGCCATGTCCCCTCCAGAGAATACCTAGCTTCTCTTTATAGTGGTGGCGTGAGAATGAACGGTGTGCACTGTGCCCTGCTAGTGAGCATCCTGGATGGGCTCCTTCTGTTCTTGCCCAGTCCTGAGTGGGTTGTCTCTGCAGAGAGATTTAGGTTCTTCATCCTTTTAAAAGGAAGGTAGTCAGCCCTCTTCCCAGAAGAGTTGCTGTGTGTGTCTGTATACGGGCCTTGGGTCAATTCAGTGGTTTCAAGTCCCCTGAAGCCCTCAGGTTAAGAATCCTTCCCTTAAAGTCTCAGCCTCAGAACTTCCCTATTATTAATAAGATGACCTTCTGTGTCAAGGTAGGATAGATTCAAATATGTATTATTGAAGAAGGCTACTGGCTCTTCTCAGTAGCTATATTGGTGATTGCTGTAGGATAATAAATTTGTGTATTTAAAACTAGGAAAAAGAGTCCTGTGGATGCTATGATTCATTCTTTCCTGTATGAAATTATGGGGTCATGTAGGTTGGAGTTTTGCAGAAGAAGAGAAGGCAAAAGTTGATTAAATTTACAGATATTCATGTTTCTGTGGGATGGTAGAGCAAAATAAAAAATACATACAGGTCTATTTTCTCTTTATTTTATAATTCATTTACTTTCCTAAATAGAGATTAAGCTAGTTAAAAGTTATATGCACTGAACTGTCATGTAAATTTTTAATTGACTTAAAATATACTACCAAAAGCTATCCTCTTAACCACTTTTAAGTGTATAGTTCTGGATCTCATGACGTTAAGGATCGCATGTAGTTTTAATTAATCTCATTGTGAAAAATTTCTAAATCTTCAAAAAGAAATTAGGAAGAAATTATTGTAAGAAAATATTTACCCAGAAAAATATAATTCTTGAACTGATCTCTAAGGTGTCACAAATTTGGCCTTTCCTAGGCAAGAAAACCGCAAGCATTTAAGAATGCTTTGTGGAAAGTTCTCATAGATTTTAGAAATAGAATTGTGTTTTAAATGGGGTGATTATTTTTATTTTGCTAGAGGCCTAAGGAAATCTCCAAGGTAGCTACATTAAGAAAATGTTAGAGATTGTACGATTAAAATCTGGACTTTGAGTTTCATCTGGAAGTACAGAAAATCGGTGAGATTCTTGAAAGCAAGTGTCAGGGGTAGACAGATCTCTGTATTTTTCATTAGCCGAAGTTAGCATATTTTCACAGGTATCCACCACACGGCTCGATGCTGAAATCTCATGTGAATTTGCAAACGTGAGGATCACCATAGTAACATCTATATTAACCTTTACATCTAACCTTGTTAGTAAAAGATGCTTGTACCTTTGTAAAAACACTCTCTCAGGGGGGGAAAAAGATATTTTTCCTTCTCGTAGACTACAGGATGTTCCTCCCTTATCCCAGGCATTGTTTTTGAAATTCAAAAGTCTGGATGTCATATTAGAAGCAGCCAAAATATTAGTGTTGGTGTCAGGAAGTTAGAATACTATTTCCAAAAGCAGTGTGAGCCAAAGCTATGGAATTTATGGATGTACTTGGCTACAGGGGATAGTAGGGAAAGCTTTGGACAAATATATCTTATAAGTAATAAATTCAGGGTATTGTCCAGACTGTGGTAAGTTCCAAGGGCTGAATTCATCTAGAATTGAGCATTTCTGCTGAGTTAGCTGCTTCACTGCCTAAAGAATCATATCACTAAACAAAGAGTCTTTGTGGCAGTGAATGCGAGGGGCATCGAGCGACTTTTCTTTAACACTGTCACTTAGGATTGGTACAGGCACTGTCATTTCCCCCATCTTGTGTAGCCATTTACATCTCTTATTTCAGTTTTTGTCTTTAAGTGTATTTATTTAGTTTGCGAGAGAGTGGGAGTGGGGGAGGCGCAGAGAGAGAGGGAGAAAGAGAGAACCCAAGCAGGCTCCGCACTGTCGGCACAGAGCCCGATGTAGGGCTTGAACTCACAACCCTGAGATCATGACCTGAGCTGAAATCAAGAAGCTGAGCCGACTGAGCCACCCAGATGCCCTGCAGCTTTTATTTCCTAACAAAATATGTCCTTTCTTCATTCTCAGAATGTCTTAGGGCCCTTAAGAAACTGACATGTACAATTTCAAAGGGCTTGACAATATTTTTGAGAACTTGTAGAAGATATGGGAGATTTCTAATGATTGCAAGAGGGCCGATTTAAATGTTTTTTTTTTTAAATGTTCTTATTTATTTTTGACAGAGAGAGAGAGAGCACGAGCAGGGGAGGGGCAGAGAGAGAGGGAGACACAGAATCCCAAGCAGGCTTCAGGCTCCGAGCTGTCAGCACAGAGCCTGACGCAGGGCTCGAACTCACAAACCACGAGATCACTCCCTGAGCCAAAGTCTGACACTTACCTGACTGAGCCACCCAGGCGCCCCCAGAGGACCCATTTTAAGATCTCTCTTCCTCAAAAGAAAAGAAGTCTTGCTGGGTATTGATTTATGGCCCCAGATTAGAGCAATAAGCCATTTATACACAGGCAGTAAGAAGTGCCCAGGATCCCGAGGCGTGACCCCTGGGGCTGCAGGAGAAGCTGAAGGTGCTGACCTAAGCAGGCATGTCCTAGGGGTGTCTCGCAGGGTTTCACCGCTCAGAAGATGCCCCTCACCAGACTAAGCCTTGTGGACGCAACAGGAAAAACGAAAGCAAGGAGCCTCTCCTCGCCCTCCCAAGGAGCCATTTTAGAAGACAGGGTACGCACGCACGAGCAGTAATGACGGCTAACCAGTATGGGACCAAACAGGGCCACGTGGGAGGGAGAAGCAGGAGTCCGCTCAGGCTCCATTAGGTCTGTTTAGTGTCCAGAGAGACAAAAGGAGGTGTGGCTAGGGGCACGAGCTCTGCAGCCGGGCTGCTTGGGTTCAAATCCCAGCTCTGCCACTTACCACCTGTGTGACCTCAGGGTGAACTACTTAGCCTCTCTGTGCCTCAGTTTCCCCATATTTAAAATGGAGATGATAATGGGACCTACCTAAGAGGGATGTTGAGGGATTAGGTAATACATGTAATGCACCTGGCTCACAGGGTGGGGTAGATAAATGTTTGTTACAATTATAATTATTCTGCAACCTTATCATGTTTATCGGGAAATCTGGACCACCTACCTAAGAGCTCCTGTTGCTAGGAGCGTGTTTAGCTCAGGGTTCAGGGGCTTCTTCCGGGGAGCGTCTGCACAGCATGGTGCCAAGTGGATTGAGGGGCCCGGAGAGACCTGTCACTGAGGGTTCACTCCCCAAGCACTGCATTTGCCAAATACGAGTTTGTTTGTTTCTTGAGCAATAGTTTCTTGCACCTGACCTTTGCCCAAAGGAAGAACTGTCTAATCAGGCAGTCTGTACGTCTCCACTGACATGTACAAAGGGGCTGATATAGATATTTACCTCATAAAATGTGACAATTAAAAAAAGACAAAGCTTTAAAAGATGTTACCATTGGGGGAAACAGGGTGAAGTGTACCCAGAAACTCTGTACTATTTTTGCAACTTCCTGGGAGTCTCTATATTTTTTTTAAAAAAGTGAAAATAAAAGCATGCAAAGAGTTTAGCATTGTTCTTGGCCCACAAATGCTGACATTTGTGAGTATGTGTGCAAATTTATTGAAGACGGATGCACTCTACTAAATATTTTATGTGCACGAATTGACTTCATCCTCAGAACACCCCTATGAGGTAGGCTGTCCCCATTTTTCAGATTGGGAATCTGAGTCACAAAGAGAGTAAACCACTTATCCAAGCTGGGGGTCTGCAGAGCCCATGCCTTGACCATGGCGCTGTGCACCTCTCCTAGTGAGAGCTCAGAACGGTGAGCTCTTGTGCTGATGGCTGATGATAGAGCCCTCCATTTTGGAGACTGCCGGTGCTTCTGTAGTGATTCATAAAGGGGAACAGAATCTTTTTACATGTCCTGGCACCTTGTACACTAAATGTCTAGCATAGTTTGCTAACCTGCCTGAATTAAAGATGAGCATCTTTGTAACATTTACATATAACAGCAAATTTGGTAGATTTGTTAATACCTTGAAAGATGGGAACAGAGTTCACAGTAGCCTTGAAAACAGTGTACTAGAAACTTCCATCAGAGCAGCAGCGGCTTAACAGGCTGCAGACACACGTCCTGCATGGGAAGACTGCCACGGGCATAGACAGATACGCTCAGGAAGATCTGGACATCTTTCTGGATGCAGAATGAAGTACTGTGGTGTTTCCTTGAAACAGGCGGGCTTGAGGGTATTAATAGCAGCATGACATGGCCAGATCGGGAAGTTATCATCTCTCTGGACATTTGTCAGACCTTTATCGGAATCCTGTGTTCACTTTTGCTGTTCAGTTTCTGAGGTAATATGAATTTTTCTGGAGAAGAGCTGTGAAAGCAACAGAGGCCGCCATTCTGGCCCTTGCAGCCGGGCGACCAGTGGGCCTGCTCTTACTCGGGCTGTGAGGGTTTCTTTACAGTTAATGGATCAAGCTTTTCTTTAAAAGAAACAAAAAAGCTATTCTTTAAAGACCATCTTAGTGTTGGAAGCGCTGTCTCTTGAGTGACAGTCATCTTTGTTTTTTAATTTTTTTAATGTTTATTTATTTTTGAGAGAGAGAGAGAGAGAGACAGAGACAGAGACAGAGACAGAGACAGAGTGTATATAGGGAAGGAACAGAGAGAAAGGGAGACACAGAATCCAAAGCAGGCTCCAGGCTCTGAGCTGTCAGCACAGTCCTGTGCGGGGCTCGAACCAGCACAAGCCGTGGGATCATGACCTGAGCCGAAGTCAGATGCTTAACCGACTGAGCCACCCTGGTGCCCCTTGAGTGACAGTCATCTGGAAGTTTAGACTCAGAAAGAGCCTCCCTGTTTCTCAGGGCTGTTCTTCAGTCTGCTCTGTCTGTGAACGTGGGCTGTGATAAGAAGTCAAATCTAGTAGCCTCCCTGGCGTTCATGGCTGCCCAGGTCCCAGCACAATTACTGTCCCTGCCCCTGAAAGGAGGAAGTGGATTCGCAGGTGCCCTGCAGGGCTCTCGCCGCAGCCCCATATGGCCTCTCCAGTGATTAAACTCTAGACACACTCTGTTCCCAGCTTCGCAGAGTGATGGCCCTTGGCGATTCCCCTGATGCACTCACTCCACTTTGCCCTAGGTTAGAGAATGTGCACCTGACTGTGATTGGACCTTCTTCACCACTGTCACCGCTGCCTCACCCCAAAGCTTGCATCATCATTACCTCCTGGTGGGTCTCTCCACTCCCCCACCCTGCCTGCCTCTTACCCTGTACTCCACACAGCAGTGAATGATCTTTTCAGACAGAAGTCGGGTCATGCCATCGATGGCTGGGAAGTCTCGCAGGAGCTTACCTGTCGGACCTGTCCCCGTCGGCCTAAGCTCCCATCCCCCTCCTCTTGCTCATTTATTCCAGCCACCCTAACTTCCTAGATGCTCCTCCAGTACCTGGCCCCTCTCCCCATGGTCTGGGCACGTGCTGTTCCCTTTGTGGGGAATTCTTTTTCCCCAGATGTACACGCAGCTGGCTTATTTCCTCTCTTCTTTCAGGTGTTCCATCAAATGCCACCTTCTGGTGATACCACCTCCCAGAGCTGCCCTGTCTAACGCGGAAATCCCCACACACTTCGTATCCCCGTTCCTTCCTTTATCTTCAGTCCTGTCTTCCGAATACCACCTAACATATGTTATGCTTTTTAGTCTTGGCTTATACCCTCTTTCTTTCCATGACAGTGTTTGCTTCTTGAGGGCAGACTTACAAAATTTGTTTTGTTTTCTACTAAATCTTCAGCGTCGAGAAGGGGGCTTAGGTATAGGAGGTGCTCAGTAAGCATTTGCTGAATGCATGCCTGATTAGTAATACAGTTCGTAATCAGTGTAAGTTCCCCAAAGGCAGGACACACAGTCTGTCCTTAATAAAATATTCAGTGCCATCTACCTGCAAATAGGATAGAGAATCTCCTATTCTGGAAGTTGGACTGTTTGCAGGGAGAGAAGTGGATGTGCAGCTTGTTGAGGTCTTCTGCCTGTAGAGTCTCCAACCCTTTCAGTGCTAACCCAGAGTGAACCTGACAGTTCCCCAGATTCCTATCTCTGCCCCTGTTTTTGTATCTGTAATAGTTTTGTGTCTGCGGGGAAGACACAAACTTCTGCTAGCAGAAGTTGAGAAGAGGGGCCTAGGACACTTTTAGGAGGTAGAGGTCAAGGCAGAGACGGAAAGTGGACGTAGCTTTTGTGTAAAAGAATCCCCTGTGGCTTTGATCATTCTAGACTTTGCAAATCCTGCATCCCGTGCCAGCAGGTTTCTGATCTTTGAGAAGAGAGCTCTTTAGCTGCAAGTTGTTTCCAAGCAGACACAAAATACTTGTTCTTATTTCCAAAGTTCTGTTAATTTGGTTATTTGTTCTCTGAGGCTGTAGCCTCCCCGTTGCTCACTGGGTCTGTGTTAGATTGGCAGATGTGTTGTGTGGGAGTAAGGAAGGAAAATTTCCTATGTTAATTTCTCTCTGACAAGCACATGTGCAAATCTAGACACAGCCTCTTGTATAAAAAAGTAGAAGAGAAAAGAAGAAAAAAGAAGCCTCCATCCTCGTGTGTGTGCGTGCGTGTGTGTGTGTGTGTGTATTTCCATATAGAAAACATCCTGTGTTTCATGGAAATATGTATTCAAAATGTGTATGGGCTTCATTTACTTCTTCCTCATATGTAGGATTTAATTAGGAAAGAAAGTCCTGTAATATCTCAATGACAGTGGTTTATTAATGGAGAACCCTGGGAGAAGTAAAATTATTAAATCAAAAATAAGATGAAATAACTCTGCCTGATGGCCTTGGATACAGAACTACTGAGACTCAGCAAAACATACTAAATTTTTGTTCAATGCCTGGGTCTATGTCTGAAGCTTTATGTGTATTTCCCATTTATTCCTCAGGACAAACCAGTAAGATAGATACTCTTACAGATGTAGAAACTGAGGCTTGGAGAAAGGTAAAATAGTCACTGAGTGGTAGAACCATATGCTTAGAGTTGGTAGTCTGATTCAGAGCCTGTGTTCTTACTTACTGCACTAAACTGCCTCTCTAGGAAATAGAGGAAAGACCCCTGCTGATATAAGAAGATACTCTGTATTTATATCTCTCACTCTGCCTCCTCAGCCTGCACTCCCACTCAGCACCCCTAAGTGCATATAGTGATAGTACCCATTTCTTTACATAAAAATGAAGGTAACTTTTTATGATAGTGAAATTTACATAGTTTACAGCGAGTGGCCTGGCATAAATAAGTACTAAGTAGTATGGAATGAATTTTTATGTGAACAACGTTTGATATTGGACAAATAGCAGAATGTCCAATTAAACTAGAGAGGAACTTAGGTAATCAGTTCAAGTTAGTCTAGGTTGGTGCAGACAAACCAGCAGTGCACCCATTTAAAGAATATTTTAGACCCAAATGTGCATCGGTTATCGACAATCCTAAGTCTTGATGACCATCCAGTTTTCTGTGCAACTGAACACAGCTCAGGCATGTTGAGTGTCCGTGTTGGTTCCCCAGGCCCTTCCAGCGAGCCCAGTAGAACCACATCTGTGCATGTGCGTGTGCAAGGCAGTTGAAGATCAAACCCATTAGTCATGCGGTTCCGATGACTAAGGGCAGGGTATTAGTCAGCTTTGCTACTGTAACACACAGGTCCAAAAGTTGAATGGCTTTCAACAGGGAATGGCTTGCTCATGTAACACAGACGTGCTCTGTAGGCGGCGGGGCCTCGCACGGGTTTTCTCGTCCTTGGAGCAACGATTATCTGGGCACGCTGTTCTCATGGTGGAAGGCAGAGGCAAGATGCCATGCTGAACCACGTGTTGAATCCGAAGCTTCTCCAATGTGGCTGGCATCACATGTGTTCACATTCCTTGGGCAAAGCAAGTTCCATGGCCAGTCTGGACAGTGGGGCCGGAGGTCTCTTTGGGCCACCAGGACATTGCAGGTCACATGACAAAGGGCAAGGGCGTGTGGTCTTTTGGGGGATGGGCACAGTGGGAGGTGTGAGTCTAGCCATTTGAGAAGCTGGAAGTCTGCACTCTCCTGGCCCGTGTCAGGAGGTCTGCGTCGACGGGGTAGGTATTTGATCTTTGTTTGCAAGTATGCTGTGTGCAGCTAAGTTTGCAGTCCCTCGCTCTCACTCTCAGTATCTGAACCATCTTTGGGAGATGTTTTAGGAACCATAGGAAACAGCAAAGTGGTGGATTCTTCACCTTCTTGTGTAAGAAGCTCTGAGAATTGTCTTGACTTGAGAAGCGTGACCATGACTTTCAGAGTACTTGGGCCTGGTTTGTTGGGACAAGTGTGCGCTCACACCAGACTGAGGTATCACAGGGCCCTGAACTAACAGAGAGGCCAGAGCCTGGGAAAAGGGTAAAGAGGCCAGCAGTGGGTTGACAGGAAACTCAGTGGGTGCTTGCCCGGAGGGAGGTGGAGGGGGGGGCTACGGAGCAGAGCCCCTGGCTGTGATGTGGAATCTCTGTGTCATGGTCGTGGTACTGGGGCTCATCAAGTCACTGGTGGCCATAGGGCTAAACAAGAAGGATGAGAGGGGCGCCTGGGGTGGCTCAGGCAGTTAAGCGTCCAACTTCAGCTCAGGTCACGATCTCATGGGTTCGAGCCCTGTGTCAGGCTCTGTGCTGACAGCTAGCTCAGAGCCTGGAGCCTGCTTCGGATTCTGTGTCTCCCTCTCTCTCTGACCCTCCCCTGCTCGCTTGGTCTCCCTCTGTCTCTCAAAAATAAATAAAAAACAGAAAAAAATTAAAACAACAACAAAAACAAGGAGGGTGACAAGTGAATGCATCCTGGAAGTCACAGCTCTGGTATTTGGATCTCGGATGTAAATTTGGGGTGGGGTGGGGGGGAATAAAGCCATGAGGCACGTTTCTATTTAACCTCATAAATTTTTTAGAGATATTTGGAGACAACTTCTTATTTTTTTTTAAAGTGTTAATAGCATCATTTGTTCAATAGGCTCTGGATTCACAATGTTCAAAATCCAAAAGGAACAAAAGAGCTTTCAGCAAAATCTCCTGTCTAACCCTGTCTCCCAACTTCCTTCAGTTCTGCTCACGAGGCCGTTACTAGTTTCCTGTGTGTCTGCCCTTCTATAGACCCTTCCTGCATGTTCATAAGACATATCCTTTGTTGAAAACTTTCTTGGGAACAAGAATTACATTAGAAATTCATTGTGCAGAAAAAAGAAAAAGAAATTCATTGTGCAGCAAACTTTATTTGGAGTCTTCCAACACGTGTTACATTTGAGCCTGTTTGTTTCTCAGTACAAAGATTTTATTACTCAGTATACTATAGGAAAAGCATTTTGTGTCAATATAAATGTCTTTTCTCTCAAATTAAATAATGTAAGAAGACAAAGTTTATAAAAACAGTACAGGTCTAAGTACTATTTTGTTGTTGTTGTTTTCTGAGATAGAGAGAGAGTGAGAGAGAGAAAGAGAGGGAGGGAGAGAATCTTAAGCAGGCCTCATGCTTAGCATAGAGCCTGATGCAGGGCTTGATTCCAAAACCCTGGTACCATGACCTGAGCTAAAATCAAAAGTTGGACACTCAACGAACTGAGCCACCCAGGCGCCCTGTATAGGGTATTTTAAAGTTTAACATTAGCATTACAGTTAACTCACGATACAAATTTTTATTTTAGTTTTTTCAGTGTTGAACTTCTTAAAATTTATTTTTTTATTTTTTTTAACATTTTAAATGCTTTTTAATTTATTTCTGAGAGAGAGAGAAACAGCATGAGCAGGGAGGGTCAGAGAGAGAGGGAGACACAGAATCCGAAGCAGGCTCCAGGCTCTGAGCTAGCTGTCAGCACAGAGCCCGACGTGGGGCTCGAACCCATGAACCGTGAGGTCATGACCTGAGCTGAAGTCAGACGCTTAACTGACAGAGCCACCCAGGCACCCCTAAAATTTATTGTTTTAATCATTTTTTTTTTTTTCATCATGGTAAATGTACTCTTTAATCCCCATCCCCTATTTTCCCCATTGCCTTCCCCGTTCCCACCCTCTGGTAACCATCAATGTATTCTCTGTAGTTAAGAGTCTGTTTCTTGGTTTGTCTCTCTCTCTTCCTTTATCCTTTGTTTTGTTTCTTAAATTCCACATGTTAATGAGATCATATGGCGTTTGTCTTTCTCTGACTTATTAGGATTATACTCTCTATCTATGTTGTTGG